TTCCTAGAGTGTAGAGTTATTTGGAGTCACATCTCCAACATGGGGCAAGCTCTGTACACTAGGAGAGACAGAGAGAAAAGGGCTCCTGGTCTGTGTAGCCTGCATGATCAGCCCCTAGTATCCAGAATCGATCTGGTTTCAAGTTCTTCTTTTAATTTTGTGAATGACTTGAGTACCCTTCTAATAATTTTCCCTCCTTTGGCCTAAGCTAGTTTGGGTAGGGTTTTGTCACTTCCAACCAAAACATCCTGACTAAAGTGAGGATCCTTGGTCGTCTGGCCCTAATAAGGCATCTTTCCCAGAAAACAGAGTTTCTTCTAGCTTATAGGATGCTTTACAAACATTATTTCATTTGATTCTTACTATAAGCTTGTGAGGTGGGTTCTAATATCTTGACTTCACAAATAAGAAAAGTAGGGCTCAGAGACGTGAAATATTTTGCTCAAGATCGAGGCTGAAAATGAGGAACACTTGGACACCAAGTCCCTCTTATATTCAAGGTGTTTCCCTTTATCCCCCACCTCTTTGTCTTGTACACACACACACAGAAGTGCTACAGTGGAGCCCAGGGTGAGCACAAGCAGCACTGGGACAAGGACCAGACTGGGATGGGGCGGGGGGGGGGGGGGGGGGGGAGGGTTAAAGGAGGAAGTCAGAGGATGGTAATGCCAAGTTCCTCCATTTAAATTTTATAGTCACTAAATGTCCAGGAGAAGAAAATATTCTCAACTTCTTTCTTTTACCCCTCCTTGTACTATTTTATGTTCCCATAATCTATACCTCAGGCTTGCAGTAGATGCAATTATTCAGTTATATTCTTGGCAATTACAGTTCTAGGGGCTAGCCCGGAAACTAAATCACTGTTTATAATACAGCCCTTTTATGAGTTGGGACTATCCATATCTCCATTCTTCTGTTTTAGGTTACGTGGCACTTTTTTTCTTTCTTTCAGTTCTGTTGAGATGTAACTGACATATGGCTCTGTATAAGTTCAAAGTATATGGTAAAATGATTTGATCTGCAAATATTATAAAATGATTACCACAATAAGTTTAGCGAACAACCATCAACTCATACATTAAGAGATACAAAATAAAATTTTTTTCCTTGTGATGAGAACTCAGGATTTACTCTCTGAATGACTTTCAAATGTAACATACAGCAGTGTTAATTACATTCCTAGTACTTTTATCTCACAACTAGAAGTTTGTACCTTTTGACAATCTTCATCCAATTCCCCCTCCTCCCCAGGCCCCACCTCTGGTAACCACAAATCTGATCTCTTTTTTCTGTGAGTTTGCTTTTGAAGTATATAATTGACCTACAACACTGTCAGTTCTTGGTGCACAACATAGTGATTTGATATTTCTGTACATTTCAAAATGATAACCACTGTGATTCCTTTCAGTTTTTAAAAAAGGAAAAGAAAATGGGCCTGCTCTGTTTTGAGTGTCCCTGATGCTCTCTGAAAGCCACAACAAATTATTGTAAAACTGACTCAGGTAAAGCTTGGTGGGTCTCAAAGGGCAGCTGGGAATGGCAGGCAAGTGTCACAGTAACTGTCAGTGAGGCCTGGTGGGGGAGGGGTGGCGGCCTTGCTGGCTTTGTGGGCACTTCCCTCACCCCCTTCATGCCCTGCAGCAGTGTGGCCAACTGTGCCAGGAAGCAGCTGTCTCTGAGGCTGCTCAGGCTGGCAGGACCTCTAACATCATCGGGTCCATGATTCACAAAGTTGACTTTACTCTCTCTTTGTTCTAGGCTCATGCCCTTCTTCATCATTCAAGGTTAAGCAGAAATCATCAGGTGTGGATGATCACCTTTCCACTCCCAACTGTCACTGGAAACATATTCTCTGCTTCCACATCCCTCTTAATAACGATGGGGGCATCCCTTTCCAGAGGGGACAGCACCATTCCTGCCCATATCCCATCTTCTTCTACCGCTTCTTCCGAATCATCACTCCTGCCATCTCTCCTGCATCATTCCTATCACTCTGCAAGCCTGTTCTAGTCCTTTCCATATTTTAACAAAACCCTTTATATCCTAACAAAAATTAAAATTAGATATGGCTATAAGCACTGGAAAACAAAGGATGAAGTAGGCCCCCCAGAGTAGATACAGCAGATCCCTAAACATCAGGAACCCAAAAAGTTGTTGCCCTAACATCCTCAACACATGGCTTCCACTTCAGCACTGAATAAGCCTGCTTGAGCTGCAGCTACATCTTTACATACTCCACTGGGGAGGAGAAAACAATGGCTGAGGACAGCACACCACCTCCCTTTAAAGCTACTTATCCTGTGTTGCACATGGTCACCTCCATTTGCTTCCTGTTGGCTAGAACTGAGCCATGTGTTCATGCAGAGCCCTGAGGGAGTCCTAGAAACTTGCTTTTATTCAAGGAAGCTACGTGGCCAGCTAGAACTGGAAAGTCTATAATAAAGGAAATGGGGGAGAATGGCTGTTAGGGTCATCCAGCATTCTCTGCCAAAGCCTCCTATGATTCCACATTCCTTCTAGATCTCTCCCAGTTCTGTGTTCCCTGTTGGATAAGCTGTCCAAACACGACAGCTCTACCATGGTCTGGCAGCCACCCCACCACTCCAGGAACACTGCCCTTATCATGTGCACCAAGAATTTTCATGTTGCCAGAATCAAAGGCTCCTTCCCTTTCTTCATTTTATCTGATCTGTGAGCAGCATCTAACACAGCTGACCACTCTTTTCTGGAAATACTGCTTTGTCAGTCTCTGGGATATAGCATTCTCTGGTTATCCTTTCGCTTCCCCAGCCTTCTGAAAAAGAAGTCTTTTTCAGTCTTCTTTCTCGCTCTGGCTCTTCGGACTCCTCTGGGTCTCTCTTGAACCCCAGCCTCTTCTGCATCTACCTCTTTGGCCTAAGTGACTCCTTCAGATCCCAAGGCACTTGTCTCTCAAAGCCTGACCTCCAGCCCAGGCCTCTCTTCTGGGTGTATAGTGACTGGACAATTGAACTGGATCTCTGATGGGCATCTCAAACTCAACATGAACACAGAATTCTTGACGTGCCTGCCTGACTGGTAGTCCCTTTCCTCCAGGTTACCCTATGCAATAAATGAGGCATTGTTCACCCACTTACTCCAGCCGGAAACTTGAAAGATATCTTTGGTTTCTCCATTGCCTCCCCCACATCCATCCTATTGATGTCCATGTCCAAAACAGCATCTTTCAACTACTGATCTTAGTGTGACCATCAGTTTGGTCCAAACCACCATTAGTTTGGGCCAGGGCTGCCATAAGAGTCTAATTGTCTCCTTGCTTTCATTTTTGCCTGTCACTTACCCAATTTATTCTTCACACAGTAAAAGATCAGAATACATTAGCCTTCTGCATAAAACCCTTCAATGGTTTAATAACAGGTTTCCAACCTAGACCAGTCTTACATGTCTTGGTCCCCACCCACTTCCCCATATCATCCTGGTTCTCTTTCCCAGGCTCCAATTTTGGCCGTACTGTTTGTTTTTTTTTCTCCCTAGCTCCTTGACACATTCACAGCTTACCTTTCTCGGGACCTCGGTGCAAGCTGTTCTTGATTTGGAATGTCTCTGCCTTGCTTTTCCCAATGCTATCTCCTCATTCTCTTGACTTCAATTCCAACGTCAACTCCTCAAAGACATTTTTCCTGCTGGCTCCACCTAAAGAATGAATGACTCCTGTTTTCTAACCCAGTCCCTTGTTCTTTTCCCAGCATTTACTTCAACTTGCAATTATGTCTCCACCACCAAAAATCAGCTTTATGGAGTAAAAGTCTTCAGCTGTCTTATTTACAGCTGTATCCTTAGCATCAAATCAGGGCCCGGCACTCAAACACCCACTATCTGCTCTAGATGAACGGATGGGCAGTTCTCCAAGGAGGTCTCTGAGCTGTCTGGGTGTTAGAGGCTGGCTGCATCCCCCTTAATAAGAAAAAACTGGGAATGGACCCAACAGTTCCTTTACGAAATCTCCTCCTTACATTGCACTTAACCTGTTGGTTGCTTTTACTATAATGTGGTGCAGCCAGTCTCTTGGCCCAGTTATAATAGATTCGAATTTCCTGCTGTCCAGCAGAACAAATCACCTAGTCCTTCCCCACTGAATGAGTTCTAGGCTCAGTTGGCGGTGCCTGGGTCTCATTTTTCAGACAGGTGCGTTGAGATCCCAGAGGTCAGCCTTTTTAACACCAGAGCCCAGTCGGCGTTGTGAATCCCTATCTACCACAGACTGTACCTCTAGTCCCCCCTTCCCCCTCAAGAACCCTCTCAGCCATCTTCTCAGGATGAAGGTGAGGAACAAATCTCGGCAGGTGGTCCAAAGAAAGCCCAGTATTTTTAGCACCAAGGCTACCAGGAGCCAGTCTTTACCTGCCGGTGGGTGTGTGAAGAAATAAATGTTAATTTACTACTCTAGGTTGGAATCCTACCCCCACTCCCAGCCTCTGAGGCCCGGCAGGAACGCCTTTCAGTATTTTTAATTCAGCCATTTTTTCCTAACCCTGGCTCACCTCTCTACCGGTCACCCTCATCGTTCCCCCCGCCCCCCGCGAGACGTGGCCCCCACAACTCGCGCTTCTCAAGCCTGGGTTCCGGTCCGGTCAGTGACAACGCCGACGTGGCGTCCGCATATTGCGGAGGCCCCAAACGTGGGGTGCGGGTCCCCACTAGGCCTGAGCCACGAACCCAACCACCGAGCACCGACCAGGGCCGCCTTCGCCTCCCGCCCCGCCCAAAGCGGTTCGAAGGGGCCCCGGGCCCTGCGGACTCAGCACAGGCGCGGACTGGAAGGCCGGGCGGGGCGGGGCGGGGGCGGGGCTATCGGCGGGGGCGGGGCGCGGGGGGCGGCGCCGCGCAGGGCGGCCCAGGGAAGCGGCGCCCCTTTCTCAGCAGCCACCCGGCGCCGCGCCCCCGGCCCCGCCCTCCGCGCCCCGCCCCCGCGCTCGGACGGCCTGAGTCGCGCCCTACCGCCCCGCGCCGCCGAACTTGCTCTAACTTCCTTGGCCGAGCCCGGCCGCGTCGCTGCTGTCGCCGCCGCCGCCGCCACCGCGCCCGGGTGAGTAGAGCGCCGAGCCCCCGCTGGAGCGTCGGGCCCTGCCCCCCTCATTGTCTGAAGCCGATCCCCCCCTGCTCCCCCCAGCGCCCTCTGGGGACAAGGACTGATCCCCCGGTCCAGGGTCGGTCCCTCCAGCGCCCTCGCTCCTGCCCCGGGGCGGCCCGGCGGCCAGCGCTGGCTTTGTCTGCTCAGATCGCCCGCGAGGGGCCGAGGCCTTGGTCCGGACCCCGCTGAACCGAACTCGGGCGCCGAGCGGAGTGAGAGCCGCAGCGGTCGACCCGGCTGGCTCTCGGGGTTCTGTCTCCCTCGCCCTGTCCGCGTTGCCGGACGGGTGCCTGCTGGGGCCGGGCGTGGTGGGAGCACTCGGGGAGGGAGGGATAAGATCGCCGTGGTCCTGGGTTCTGCTCCCCTCCCCAGCCGCTAGCCTTGGGATGGGCACTCCTTTCGGTTCCGCCACGGACCCTCGGCCGCCCGGAGCTCGGGCTAGAGGGTGGAGGGTGGCGCCGACCGGGGAGGGCGGTCCCCTCCCCGGCCCCGCCGCAAGTGTGCCCTGGCCCTAAGTCCCATTCTTCCCTTCACGGATTTGGGGCGGCCGGAGTTTGAGTAGGTGGTGATCTGCTTCTCCGTGTTGGTCGTTTGGGGTTGTGCTTGGGAGCAAACCCAACTCCTGATATAACTGGAACTTCGGTCGAGTTGGGTCTGTGGCTGTGAAGTTCGTTCGTCCCGGGCCGCTGCTCCTGCCGGGTAGCAGTAGTGGTATTGGTAGGTAGGGTGTGTGCGTGTATTTGTGTAGGGACTTGTGCATCAGGACCGCTGGGACACGAATCCGGGGGAACACGAAGTTGGTCTCTCGCTGGAAGCAGTCAGTGCTGTTGGGAGTCGTGGGGAAGCGACTGGCCCCAGTGCTGGCCTGGCAGCTGGATCCCGCAGCAGTGTACCACTTCCCAGGCTGTCCCTGGTGGTGGGGTCTAGGGGCATCAAGTCAACCTGGGCCCTGAGTGCAGGGCATTGCACTGGAGCCTGTGCAGGTGTGCTCTCTGAACCACAGTCAGCTCCATAGGATTCCTCCCCTCTTCTGAGATGAGGGTTGCCCTCCCGTTGATAAAAGTGGGTGGAGCTGCTTGCCAAATCCTTCAGGGTAAGCTTTACCCTTCCCCTTGACCTCAAGGTACAGGAAGTTAGTGCCTGCAGAGTGCTTGGGTCACCCTACCCTGTTGGTGAAGCGAAAGCTGGCGCCTTGGTCATCAGAGCACCCCAGCACCCCTACATCACCTCTATCGTTCAGTAAGCCCTGTGGAAGGCCGAGTGCCCTTGTTTCCAGGGATCCTCCAAGCACCCTCAGAATGAAACACACACTCCTCTGTGATGGCCCCACATGTCCTTCCTGCTCCTCTCTCTGCTATCTCCAAGCTTTGTCTTATCTTGAGGATCCATGATGTCTGGGGGTCAGGCCTTGGAAGCCCAGGCTACTAGATGGATTTCCCCTCCTGTCTTCCTGCGTCCTCACATCTCTGAACTCCACTGTTTGAACCACTAAAGATGGTCTTCAGTTCATTCAACAAAGTGTGGTTGAGAATCTGTGGGGTGCCAGGCATTGTTGCAAGCACTGTTCTAGTCTCACAGCTTCCTGATTGGCTGTCAGTTCTATGCGGTCTTAGAACCTAGGCTGGACATGTAGTAGATGCTCTGTACTGTTTATTAATCTGAACTCAACCTCAGCTTAGCAGCACTGTTCAGGCACCCGAGTTCAAGCCCACTGGTGCGTCCTGAGGTTTGTAGCTGCCTCTAGCAAGAAAGGGCAGGGAAACGAAGGAACCACAGAAGGGTTGACTCCTTAGGAAAGTTCCATCCTTTACCAGCTGGGTAGCTGTGCAAATCTCTGAGGACGGGTGAGGGTGCCTCCCATCCCTCCCATCCCACATTTGGGAGTGGTAGGACAGAACACATTCTCCATGGGGGAGGGGAGGGAGCTCTGCCCTGTAGGTCCTGGTGGTAGTGAAGTTTCCATAGAGGCCTGGAAACTGGGAGTTCTGGACGCTCTGGGTTATGGAAGCATTTCCTGAGGCCTCACGCTAGGTTACCTTGTGCTCAGGGATTTGACTTCAACTTTTACTGAGACAGAATTCAGCTTGGCAATGCTTACAAAATGCCATTGTGCCAGTCCTGGGAAACCTTTGCCGGATTTAAAAACCGGAGGGGTTACGAACAAGCTTATAGCAATTATATGGAATGTTTAAATGTGTAGTAATCATGTTTATTAAGACTTAGTGTTCATTGAGACATATCACATACTATCCAAAAAGCTTTATTTGTATTCATTCATTTAATCCTTGAAACAACACAGTACAATGGGTAATGTTAATGTCCCACTTTACAGATGGTGAAACCGTGGCCCAGAGAGGTCACCCAGTGAGTAACTTGCTTAAGGTCTGAATGTGAACTGGGTTTTCTCATATCTAATTAGATAAATTAGATAAAGCGTCCTCTCAGAAGTGATTCAAGTTGATTGGTACACTGAAGAAAGCCTGGCCCACAGAGGAGCTAGTAAATTCTCCAGTGCAGGTTCCCTTATATTCTCTGCTTCTGAAGGCATCTCATCTGTCTGGGCACAAAGCAGGTGTCTCTGAACCCCTGCTGGTTGACTGGCAATGTAGCTTTTATCTCCCTAAGGCCAGGGAATGGGAAGACCAGCGCTACCATGCACAGAAGATTGGGGAGTGAGTCATTGTCTTTAGCTGTCTAGATAGATCAGGGTTTGCTGTGGTAACAATCCTCAAATCTCAGAGGCCTAAAGCAATGAAAGATTATTTCTTACGCACACCACAACCATCGCATATCTGCTTTATGTTGTTCTCACCATGGGACCAATGCTGATTAATTGGAATGTTCCTGGTCATTTGGACCTGGAGACAAGGAGCACAGTGAATCTCACCCTGGCTCTTAAAGCTTCCACCTAGAAGTGGCATTTCAGTAGCCAAAGCAGTCGTATATGGCCATACTTCCCTGCAGGGTGGGGAGCAAAAGAGGACTGGAAACATTTGGGGAACAGCACTGATGTCTGCCACCTGCCCAACCCTGTGCTGTCTCTGTAACTTATTTCCAAGGCCTAGATTTGAGTGTCGTATGCTTCTGTCACCAGGAACATCAATCATGAATTAGTCAAAGAAATGTCATTTAGGTTAGAGATGAGTTGAGGTGTCACATTTGAAGGGCAGAGGTATGGTGAACAAAAATGCTTATTAGCATAGTAAGAGGTGGTCTGCAGAAGCAACTTGTTCCTCTGACCCTGGACAAGTTATTTTGAGTTCCTTGGGTTCTTCTTTTGCTTATTCATTTATTCAGTCATCAGTTTGTGAGCCCGAGGACTGGTGCAGAGACCCTAGCCAGGGATTCTCAATAAGCACTTGTTTAGCTCCTTGCCTGGCACTCGGGGCTGTGAACTGGGTTCCGGGATCCCTGTTTCCAGCTGCTGGGTCCTGTGGCCTTTAAGGAGGGATGGTATTACCTATAGGACGGGAAGCAGTCTCCTGCTCCCTGTCTCTGCCCTGACACATCAATCCTTGGATTTCTTGTCTTCCTCATATTCTGTATGTGGCGAGTAGGGGCAGCCAACTATCTTGGAAGCAGGAGCAGGCAGAAATACCCGCATAGGCCTTGCCCTTCCCCTTCCACTGATGAGATTCCGAGGCTGAGCTTGCAGGCCTCGGGGTATGGAAAGGTAAACTGGTGATGTTACCTAAAGGATGGAGTCACGTGGAGATCAAGCTTGGATGCGGGGTTGGGGTGGTTCTCTGGCCTGTGAAGTGGGTAGAACCCCTTTGTTAATTGCATTTTCCCACCTGGGCCACCCTTGCAAGGTGTCCAAGAGCCGGCTACACTTTGGACCCTGCTTTTGTGCTTTGTTGCCTGCTGTGTCCCTGGTGACTTCCAGCCAAGCCAGGAAACACTGGTGGAGGTGGTGAGACCTCAGGTTCTTCTGCTTGTGGTTAACTATCTTTACGCATGTTTCCTCCTTTTTCAGGGCTTCTGTTTTCCTATCAGGAATACAGGGAGAGGTAATGGTGGTCTACAGCAATGGTCTCGTTTTTGGCTGGTCATCAGAGTGCCCAGGGGACTACATACACCAGTTTTTTTTGAAAGTCTTTGGGCTAAGTCAATACCAGCATTCCTGGTTTGTCTTATCTTCATTATAGCAATGGGGGTAATTCATAATGTGTCAACATCTGTTTTCTCCTTTAACAGCATGTTTTTTTGGTTCAGACAGGAAGGTGGTATGTTGGACGAGCAAAGTGTCTGACCTGGCCAGTGGGAAACAGTCAGTGCCTTTGCTGGTTAAAGGTACCAGTGAAGAACGTTGCCCATCACATAGAGTGGACAGTGATGAGGCCAGCTTTCGAGTTGTACCTACTCTGTAGCTGAGTGACCTAGACAAGCCTTTGAATTTTTTTTCTCCCTTTCTTGGACTTGGTTTTTTCATCCGTAAAGTGAGAAGAATCTGCCCTCCCTGTTCCTGGTGGAGTTACTGTGAAGCTTACACACTTCAGGTTTGAGATGCAGTATGTGCAGCTCTTGAGTTAGGCTGATATACTCTGTTTGGGGACTGCTGCCATGACTCTGAGGGCTCTCAGCAAAGTGCTCACCAGCTGCGGGTTCTGGGAACCCCACTTCCTCCATTCTTGGGCCTGGTGGGGATCCAGTGGGGCTGGGCAGGGCTGGGCAGGGCTGTGGTTTTCTCTTAGGAGGCAGCAGGCCTGGTAATCTGAGATACAATGGGCCTGGGCAGGCTTCTGGAAGTCTGTTCTGTCTCCCTCACTCAGCAGCCAGAGAAAAGTCCCTGGAGCCCTGATGTCCATCAGCTGGATAGCTGGAGGGACCGGCCTCTGCCTTCTTGGGCTCTGTCCACCTGTGCCTAGTGGCTGTGAGCTGTGGTGGTGGGGCCTTTGGGATCCTAGTCAAAGGTGCATTCCTGGTGCTGCCTGTCTGTGTACCCCTGGAATTTGTGAGAGCTGAGGCCAGGCTTTCCTGCATGGGTAAGGTTTGGGGAGAAGTCACGCTGTGGGACTGAGCAAAGGTTGACTCCGAGAAAGTGGTTGATGAACCTCCCCCTCTCTGGATTTTCCCTGTCTACCTATACTAACTACTGGGGCCTGTGCCAGTCTAATTTGCAGGGCCCAAAAAGCTTAAAAAAAAAAAAAACTTTGAGGAATGTGTTGTCCTGATACTCAGGGGACGGGCCCTCAAACAGCAGTTGGAATTACATGAGTGTTCCCTGAATCTCTTCAGTCCATACCCTGAGGTCCAAGTGGTGAGCCTGGGAGGGCCAAGGGCAGCAGCATATCCCTGGACACAGTCCTAAGGCAGGGTCTGCAATTATGCATCAGAAGCCCCCCAAGGCACCGTGGGAAACTTGGGCTTATTGGAAAGTGGCAGGTGGGAGTAAGGAATATGATCGTACCAGCTTCAGATTTGGTCTCCTATGGAGGGGCAACTGGACCCCACACACCCTGCTCAAGTTTAGGCCATGGTGTGACTTTCAGCTTTGGGTGTGTTTTGATCCCCAGTCTGGGGTGCCCACTCAAGCTGTGCTCAGAACCCAGCTCTTTCCAGGCCTCCCGGCTGCAGCCTCCAGCTGCTCTAAGGAAAGGCTCCGATTGCCCACTGAGTGACCATTGCTGCAAAGAGACTCTGTTTCCTCTCCAGGTGACCTCCCTGATGTCTGGCTACCCTGTAGCTGGTTTCAGCCCTTTACTTCTGGGCCAGGCAGACAGGATCTGTCCCTGGGGCTTCTTGGGGGAGGCCAGCGTCCAGCCCCACATGCCAGCCCCAGTTGTTCTCATACTCCAGGTCCAGGAAGACTTAGAGCTCCATATTGTTAAAGGAAAAAAAAATATTATTCTGACACTGTGAACACGGTAAGGTAGACTTTCTTCAGGACTGTCATGATAGGTGTAAAGACTATAACAATGGGGTTTTGCAGTAACGGAGAGAGATTGGGCTCAACCCCAAATATTACAGGGAAAAGTGGGAATTTACAGCCAGGGAGCATAGTAGGGGGAAGGGTGGATGGATGGAGAATTTATGAGAGGGTAGGGTAGTTCTTTGTTAACAGACCTAACAGAATTCTTGCTGAAGTCAGGCTAGGGTGATCAGAAAACATGTGGGGGATGCTGCACTAGGAGGGTGAGGATTTGGTCAGATGTGCAAGGTGACCAATGATGGAGGGTGGGGAATCCTGGCTAAACTGCTTTAGCAGGATTCTTGCTAAAATTGGAATCTACCAGGACAGAGACAGAAGGGGCAGAGGGCTCAGAGGAGCCTGACTAGCTTGGTCAAAGAGACTGTCAGTGTATGAGGCTAGCTTCAGCCTTTGTTTGGTCTTGCCCACGCTTCTTGCATTGGCCTGAGCTCATCACTACTCATGCTTGTCGCTCAAGAGTGGTACCCTCTTTGTGGGCATCACTCTCTTGTTTCCAGAAACCCTAGTCCTTTACTTTTTGCATTTACTGGCTCTTTGGCCCCTGGCTCCCTCACAGTTGGCCCCTTGACCAGCTTCTGCACCCAGGAAACAGCGCTGGGTGAACCCTCGGCCTTGGTTCCCTGTGGCCCGCCAGTGCTGTCTGCCCTTGTTGCCAGATCTTTTGGGAACCTTTTGACTCTGGACAACCCTCCCTACTTGACCCTCTTTCCTTGGCCTCTGTACCTTGTGTTTCCTGTTCTCCCCATTCTGGGCAAACCGGTCTGACAACTTTATGGATCTGTTTCTCTCCCACAGGCCTTGGATACAACTATCTCAACTGCCTGACCTGGGCCAAGGGAGGTGCCATGGGTGACTCTCCCCTCCCCACCCCCTCCACTGCTGCAGCTCCAGGCCCTTCTGGCCGGATCCCCCCCTACGCCCAGCTGCTTCCTTCTGCTGTCTGTGGCCTTCCCATCCTCCTGGTTCTCTCTGCCCTTCTTGTCTCTTTGCTCACACCTGCACAGATGACCCTGTTGGGTGTGTCTGCTACTCTTGGAAGTGCTCGTGTCTCAGTAGCCAGCTTTTTAGGAACGAGGCCACCCGCTGTTGTGAGAAAAAAGGGGAGTGTGGAGAAAACCTGTTGGGTGCAGGGCGCGGAGCCTTCTGCACTTCCTGAAGGCTGGCTTCCACCCCAGCAGTGAACAGTGGCTCTGTGCACCCGTCCTGCCTCTGCTCTCCTTTGTCCTGGTTGCTTCCTGTGAAATACGAGTAATGATATAAACAAGGGGCCTGTCAACAACAAAAGAGCTGGTAGTTGCGCTGAGGTATTCATTCCCAAGGGAGTATGGAGGAGCCAATGGCGTGTACCCTGGTGCAGGGGTGCAGTGCGCAGATCTCTCTGGGGCTTCTCTGGACTGGGGAGTACTGATACTCTCTCCATGGGAAGACAGATGTGGTGGGGGGGCAAGGGGGGAGGTGCCAGCTGGGATGCTGTAGGATTCAGTGTGTTGAGCATCAGTGCCTACTTGGGTGTGAGAGCCCTGCCCACTCATGCAGAAAGACCGTGGGAGAGACCAGCCTTGATCTGATGGAGGGTTGGTGGTCTGATGGACCACAGCTCCTGAGGACCCTCTGAAGGGCCAGGAACTTGTTTCCAGTAGCTGAGGTCCGAGGGCTCCAGCTGCCTGCGTGATTCTGCTTGTCATGAAGTCTCATTTGTACTCCTTTATTTCCAGCCTCCCTGTTGAACAGTGAACACTCATCAGAAAGCCTCTTACAGAGTAGGGGAGCCAAACTTATACTTCCCCCATTTCTAGCTACCTTTCTCTGTGGCCTGGGCACTCTGCAAGTCCTTAGGGGATCTTTGTGGTGGGCTGGGGGTGGGGCAGGGGACCTCTGCTAGGTAGAGACAGCTCCATCCAGGAAGCACTCACTCCCTGCCTTCTAAGTGGCCTCACTCCAATGGTCTGGCCCATCCTGGTTCTAATAGGCATTGTGTCATACCCCTCAGAAGCTGGAGAGAGACTGAGATAGTTATTCTGTTGTCCCTAAGGGGGAAAATCACTTGGAGGAAATACATCAGTGCTTCTGAGTGCAGAGTATTTATTGATGTGTCAGTTAAAGTAGGCTTTTAAACAACATGTATGTATCCCTTTAGTAAGGAGCAAGCATGCACACCCATCTCACAGCTCCATTTTGCAGCTTGCATTTCCTGAAAGGTGCAGGGAGTTTAGTGGTTAAGGGATTGGAGTTTAGAGCTGGGATTTTGGAAAAACTGTTTTTAGCCTGTCCTTGGAGTTGGGCCAGGCCTAGAAATCTGTTGAAATAGCTTTCTTCAGCTGCTAAAATTGGGATGGGTTCATAACACGAGGACCTTGAGCCTCACTGATGATTGGGGAGGGCCCTGAGAAGGGTCCCTGCCTAGGCCTGGGATGCCTGTGACTCAGCACCCACTGATCCTGGGGGTCTTACAGTCTCATCACAGACTGAGTGGACCTGGCTACAGATGGTCCTCTCTATGGAATAACTTAGCTTTCCCTTCTGCCTTGGTCAGAATCCACTCTTGGTCATCCTAGGAAGACTTTCTATTTTGGGACCTGGGGAGGACTTGTGAGTGGGGAGCTCTATGAGTTGGTATGTCTGTCTTTATTTCAAAGACTGACACCCCCCCCACCCCCCAGCCGCTTCTTGTTCTAGGGAACCGCCTGCAGAGTGCTACAAGCCAAATTTTTTGTGCTATAAACAAGGGGTTTTAAATGTCACTTCAGTTTTAACTTTTTTTATTTTTAAAAATACATGTTTTATTTTAAAAAAATACATATTTGTTTCAAAGATATGATATGTAGTGAAAATTAATGTTTCCACCCCTGACTCCTTCACTTCTGTTCCCCTGAGGCCAAATAAGCATCACCAGATGTTGGGTGCCTAGTGGAGCGTGTCTGCCCTCCTGTTGTTTGTCCCCAAGCTGTACACACCTAATGGTGTTCCGATTTCTACCCTCAAATTTATCTTGGGATTGTTTGATTTCAGCACACGCAGTTCAGGCCATTCTTTCTAACAGTGGTATGGTATTCCTCTGTGTGGTCAATCATGGTTCACTTTATCAGCCCCCTATGGATGGACATTGAGGTTACTCTCAGCGTTTGGCTGCTGCAAGCCACACTGCAGGAATGCCTTGCATGTACACGCTCAGAGGTCTGTTGTAGCGATGGCTAGATGGGGAATCCAGGCATGGGGTGCTTGACCAGAAAAGAAACATGCCGTTTTGATTCCAAGAGGGAGAATGAACATTTCTGAGTTTTTCTTGTGGAAGGATCTTGTGTTTTTGCCGTCAGACCCTAGAGCTGGAGGGGCTGTGCTGCTGGCTCGTTCCCATGTGGTCTGAGCGTTTCAGCTCAGGTCAGCCTGCCTCTGGAGCCCCTGGTGTGTGTAGCCTTTGGGTGTGCCCCGTGGGCCATGCAGCCTGTGCACCCAGAAGTGTGATTATAAGAGTGTGAAGAGGCAGTCAGTGCCGGGGAGGGTCTGGGGAGGCTGGGAGTGGGGAACTTCTCATACGTGGGCTTGAGTGACCCCAGGAGTTTGCAGGAATTGAGCCGGGTATGAAGCCTGGAGTCTTGGAGAAACAAACAAGGAGCTGGGAATCAGTTTTTAGAAGAAAAGATCCTCCTTAGGTTTCAGGGGTTGGTGTGAGGCCTCTTGTCCAGGTCTCACTAGACCATCTGCTCCCCTGAGATCCCCCATCTCCTACCTGCCCAGCAGCCCTGCCTGGCTTTGTGCAACTTCAGGTTGCTCTGGAGAGGACTGCCACCTTGTGATTTTAAAAGCTGGTTTAGAAGGCACCTGGTGTAAATAATGGATGAGTTTTTCTGTTTTGAGTAGGCAGCTTCCTTGAAGAGTAGATGCAGGGGGTGAGGGCAGGTGAAGTTTTCTTCCTGGGGTGGGTTTGAGGGTTCATGTCTACTGGGAATCCTTCTGGGGGTCCTGGGAGTGCTCTGGCAGTTTCTCCACCCCTGTGGCCACTGTGTGCCCCTGAAATGACCATAACATTCCCCTGTCTGGCTCTGGCGACCTCATGCCTAGACAGGGCAGGGCAAGAAGGGAGGAGATTTTAGGACTGGCTGGCAGATAGCTCCCCTAAAAAGCCATGTGCTCGGTATGACTCTGCCCTGGTGAGTCTGAGGCCTGCGTCTCTGCCCTGTCTCTCCCACCATTGCCCTTACATGCCGCCCTGTGAGAAGTCCACAGCTTCCCATGCCCACAGCTCTATTGTATGGGGCCTGGAGCTTGGCGGCATACAAGTTTCTATTGTGGCCGGGTGGCAGCTAGGGCTGACCTGTGGGGCTGAGGAGGTGGGGCCTGGGGCCTGACAGTGGAGCTATTCATGGGCTCTGCCCCGTTTCCTGCTGCCTCCCATTGTGGACAATTTTGGGGGGAGGGGAGGGGAGGAGGAGAGGGGGTGGCCAGTGCAGCTATTGTTCCAGGCAGTGGGAGCCCATTATGCTTAAAAGAAGTCCTTTGGTGAACAGATCTTAGCCACTCCAGGGCCCCTTTCCTGTTCTCTGATGCTGGGTGAGCTGCCTAGCCCGACCCTGCCCTCTCTCAGCACTCCCCATCGTCGGAAGTCTGGAAGGATCCTGCCCTTTGGGTACCTCTGTCAAGACTCCCCTTCCTCCCTCTCACGTCCCCAGGTTCTGCCTGGAACCTTCCTGGGTAAGAGCGCGAGCATCTGGGCAAGGAGTGGGGATGCCCAGCCACCTGCCCACTGCCTCTGGGAGTGGGTTTCTACTTGAGCTCTCTCGGCCCAGCTGCATCCTTGGGTGGGGGCCAGGCGTGTGCCTGGGTAGCTGTCAGTCTTAGGCC